GGGGGCAATTGCCCCCCCTAAGCTCTTCATAGTTCCGCCCCTGTCGATATTTAAAGATTGAAAGAGTTGAAGTCACTAGGCTACCAAGATCTCTAAGTAATCTCTATTACTTGTAATACACAATCTATGATAATTGCTTGCCAACACGGCTTAAAGTTGATGATTTTTTACCTAGTGACATTAATAACCTTTCTAATTTGCGTTATCTTGACTTGTCTTGGAATTATATTTCATCGATATATAGGATTGGGAAGCTAAACTCTCTTCTAGAATTGTATTGGTTTGATCTTAGAAAAGAGATGGGCTATAGAATTGATGAGTTGAAGTATTTGAATGATCTTTGCAAATTAGGAATCAACCGCCTTGAAAATGTGAAGGACGCCAAGGAGGGTCATCTTCAGTTCAGATGCTATCTATTCATAACGTTCCTATGCTTTGTTCTGAAAGTTAGGTCTTCTCTTTGTGAGCTGGAATTTGGTCAGCTCAAATCTTTATTAAGCGCTCACATTAGGTCCAACTGCTTTAAGGAAATTTTCAAAATACAAAAGCAAACTTCCTTCTTCTTATCTTATTTGTTTGATATGAAATATGAAGAATGCAATCTCAGCATTAACCAGTTTGTATCACTTGATCGATGCACTCAATTTTGTTTATGTATGATTTGGTGGTCCCTTTATATAGAAATATATTCTTCTTTTGTTATATATGTCGTTAAATTTCAGATTTTCATCATTTCTTTGGTTGAAAGGCTGCGAGAGAACCACCCCAAGATCCAAGCTGTCTTCTTTGCAACCAACCAACCACAAATTAGCGATCAGAACCCGGCTATCAACAAATGGATATGGAAGCTGCGAGTTGCTATTGATGGGCAGATGATGTGCTCGATGAGTTTTAGTACATGAAGCATAAACAAAAGTTCCCCAAAAACACAAAAGAAACAAAGGTGCGTTCCGCCGCCACGGGCTTCCTATTTGATTCTGCTGGCGAATATATTTATTTATTTATATGATAATCTATTTCTAATTAAATTGACCAGAAACGAAAGGTCACGAGCTTCCTATTTGAAATCCTCGTAAAATTCTCAAAATTGGCGAAGGACTCAAAAAGGGATCCCAACTTTAAGTGACTGAAGGAGGCTGTGCAGAAACTTTATCAAGTTTCGGCTGATGTTACCACTTTCCTTCATCTTTTAGACATCGCGAAGCAGGAATAGAATGAGCAATAGGTTGATTTCTACAAAACACGTGAAACAAGATATTTGCCTAAAAATGATCTCATAGGGCAGCGAAAGGAGAAGGAGTTTGTTATTGAGTGGCTGAGGAATCCTTCAAATGACTATCAAACTACTTTGTAGGGTAACATTTCAATAACTCTTCAACACCCCAAACATTTCCCCCCACTCACTTAACCACTTACCTGTTGGCAGCTCAATTCCCATTTACCTTCTCCCTTCCCTTAAAGGGGTTTTTCTTTCTGCCTCTACATCCTCTATCCTAGACCTCTGATGGCTACACCTTTGAATTTTTCAAAAGCACCTAGGATGTTACTGGACAGCAGGTTTGTTGTACTATTTTAAACTTTTTCCAAAAAGGCCACATTCCAAAAGGTTCCAAATCCACTATAATCACTCAAATCCCAAAAAAATTCCGTGCATCTTTTATCTCCGATTTCCATCCAATCTCCTAATGTAATTTATTTTATAAGACTATTACTAAGATTATTGCCAATAGGATGAAATTTGTTATGCCTCACATTAGTCATCAAAGTCAATCAGGGTTTGTTCATGATAGAATCTCTAATGACAATATCTTCCTAGCTAATGAGGCCCTCTCTGAATTCAATTCTCATGGAGCTCAAAATTTTTTTTGTGCAGAGTTTGGTATCTTCAAAGCATTCAATACAGTGTCAAGAGAATTCTTGATTTGTAGGCTCTTACAAAAAGGTTTTCCTAGCACTTTTGTTTCATGATCAAAGGCATGTATTATGGATGTGAATTTCTCTATTTTTTATTTTGTTTCAATGGAGCCCTTGAGGGCTATTTTAGCTCCACCTTTGGCCTTAGGCAAGGATGGCCCTTTTTGCATAGCTATGAATGCTTTGTCTTGCCTTTTAGATAAAGTTGTGCTGGATTCTTCCTTCAAAGTCATATCTAAAGGCTACTCTCAACTGACCCATTTAATATACGTTGATGAACTGCTGGTCTTTGGGAAGGTTACTACTCAAAATGCAATCTCCCTAAACAATATCCTTAAAGTTTTTGCTAATTCCTCTGGGCTTCACAGGAACCGGGCAAAAAAGTTCTATTTTGTTTTCAAAAAATGCTACATCCTTCCCTGCTATTTGTAGTCTGTTAAACATCCCTCTCCCTCTAAGAATTCACCTACCTTGGCCTCCCCATTTCTCCTTACAGGCTGATTTCCTCTTGACTTACAACCTCTTCTTCAAAAAGTATCTGGATTATTAGATGGTTAGAAAGCTGTATCTTTTGTCTTTTGCTGGGAGACTTCAGTTCTTAAGGTTTACTATCTATAACACTATTGCTGATTGATTAAGAGGAGTTATTATACCTAAAGTTGAGATTAAATTCATAAACAAGGTATGCTCCAGATTTCTTTTTCATGGTGATTCTTCGGGGGAAAAAATTACATATCTTTTGGAAAGATTTTTGTAAACTCAGATGGTTTGGGGGTCTGGGTATACTGGCGATTCCTTCTTTGTACAATGGCTTTTGCTGCTCTTTAATTTGGCATATTATTAATGGGAGCAATCTCTTGTCTTATTGGCTGAAGCTCAAGTACAAATCTCCTTGGAAGCATCCTCCTAATAGAGCTTCCAAATGCTGGAAGCTTCTTTGCTTGGTGGCTTTGAAGATAAAAGGTTTGATTTCCTTCTCTATTATGAAAAACAGCAAATTGTCCCTCCTATAGGACTCATGGTGCAATGGTTATGCCTTATACGGATTCGTGGATGGTGATAATCTTAACTTAACAGATTTGCCCTGAATTCTATTATTTTTGTTCATAGCTGTAAAATTCCTCCTCTTTTTTCTCTGACTGTCAAAAATGCTATCTCCAATATTAGCATCTTTGAGCATGGCTCCTCTACTATCTACTGGTTGGAATCTTCTAATCCTAATTTTAAAAACTTCTACTTTAATTTTTTTGATGGATATCAGAAGGTGGTTTGATTTATGGTATTTACTGGCGATTTTCTTCTTGTTGATTAGACTAGAGAGCTAGTTGAAGGTAAACCTGAATTATGGAGGTCAACCTTAGAGTTTAAATGTTTTTGTTTGAGTAGATCTAAAATCGAATATATGGAGTATAATTTTAGTAGTAATAGATCTAGTGGGGGGATTGTGACTTTGGTCAATCAAGTCATTAATAAGAGTACACGCTTTAGATATCTTGTGTCTATTGTTCAGAGTGATGGTGAAATAAAAGGGGATATTGTTAGTAGAATTCAAATTTAATGGTTGAAGTGGAGGAATGCATCAAGCTTGTTGTGTGATAGAAAAGTACCCCCAAATTTAAGGGAAAATTCTATAAAATGGTGGTGAGACCTGCAATATTGTATGGCGCAGAATATTGGCCATTAAAAGAGAAGCATAATATTAAGTGTTGCAGAGATGAGGATGCTCAAGTGGATGAGTGACGTTACTCTTAGCGATAGGATTTAGAACGGGCATATACATGAAAAGGTTGGAGTAGCTCCAGTGAAAGATAAGGTTTGGGCACATAAAACGACAGCCTTCTGATGATCCGGTTAGGAGAGTAGATATATTAGATTTGGCTTATGTTAAGAAAGATAGAGGTAGACCTAAAAAGGCTTGATTAGAAAATTTAAGAAATGATTTTTCTTTGTTAGATTTAATGAGAATTTGACTCTTAACAATGCACAATGGGGAAAAAGGATTCATGTTCTGACCCCACATAGTGGGATAAATGCTTGATGTTGTTGTTGTTGTTGATCTCGGAAGGTTGCCTGGCATGATTTTATTTGGCATAAGAGGTATGCCATTCGGTGTTCATGTTTTGCTTGGATGGCCTTTGTCAAGGGATTAAAGACTGTTGATATCCTCATTTTGTGGAATGTATCTTCCCCTTCCTCCTGCTTCTTATGTTATTCCTACCCAGAAACACTCTTGTTTGACTGTGATTTTTTATTCCAAATTCTATCTTCTTTCCTGCCTTGGGCGGAGGGATTTTTATTGAGACCAAACTTGCAACAGCTAGAAGAATACATGATTGAAAATCCCTGTTCAGTAACCGCCCCTTCTTTAGCCTCTACTGCCTTCTTAACTTGCTGTTCTATATACTTTATTTTGAATGAAAGAAATGCTAGGAGGTTTGCTTCTGATTTTAATTGTTGGACCTATGTGAAATTGAGCATCAACCAAGCTATTTTGAAGAAGATTTTGTGCTGGAAACATTTCAGTAACATCAAGCAATTCATTTGTTAACTGGATAGTTGTTGGCCTGCTGCTTTTTTTTGGTTTATATTAGCTTACCTGTTTCAACTTTATTGGGTGTATGGCTGGAGTTTCAGGATTTATGAACAAAGACTATGATGAATGTGGATTTTAACCATCATCTTGCTTTTGCTACTTGGAAGGTCTTTCTTTTCGCAACAAGGGGCCTTTCCTCGCCTTGGAAGGCCCACTCGGAAACTGGGGGAACTGACATCCACATGATAATATCCAATTTTTGGGTTAATTTCATTTTGTACATTCTAAGTCCTTTAAGTTTTGCTGTTACTTGTTCCCCATATCTCTTATGTCTCCTGTTTCTTTCCTTCCAGGTTATTTAGATTATTAAAATGAATTCATTTGATCTAATTCAATCACATAAGATTAATTTCAACCCTTCAATTTAGTTAAGTAAATTAGGCCATTTTCAATTTTAGCACTTTAATATCTCTCCAATTTGTGAATCAAGCAGTTGAAATTTAATTAATAGTTTGGAGAATGATTTTTTTTTGCACGATCTTCACTCTTTATATAAACCTAATAATTCATGATTATATGGATGCACATTCTTCAGTCATATTTTTAGAAGCCTGTACATTTAATTATTTAGACTTAATTTGCTTTCATAATAACCCATAATTACCATCACAATGCAACTTTCAATCAAAAACACAAAGCAATGAGGAAGCTAAAAAGATGAAGAATGAAGGCTCATTAACTGGTGTGGTTAAATCCATTACAATTCACTGTGTAAATATTAGACTGAATATTTAAGAACAATTTAATCTCACAATGAAAAATATTCAATCTTGAAGCTTAAAACTAGGTTTTTCAAAATGATTATTTAATAAAATAAATATTTTTATTTCAAAATTTTTTTATATTTAAAGACTGATTTAGAGAGTAGTCAACAAATGATTATCCGGCTGCTTAAGCTTGTTTAACACACTTTTTTAATGATTTTTTTTTTCAATAAGAAGTAAAAACTGTTTTAGGTAATAAGCATTAAAAAAAGTCATCCCAAACGAAGTTTTAGGGACGACTTTTTTACTGCTTTTTAAAACAAAGTTTTAATAAAAAAAAAAATTTGTACTAAAATTTCGTTTTAGAAATCAATAAAAAAGCCGTTCCAAATAAAGCCTTAAGCCTCGTTTCGGATGGCTTTTTTATTGTTTTTTAAAATGGAGTTTTAGTAAATTTTTTTATTTTTGTGCTAAAACTATGTTTTAGAAATCAATAAAAAAAGCCGACGAAGCCTTAGTGTGGGTTTGCTTGATTTGACGTTAAGCTTTATCTTTTATACGACGCCACATTTGACCATTGGAATTCCTTAGCGCTGTTGACATCACCGCTAAGCCGTCGGATTTCAAAGGAACGGTTGAAATGAAGGATGCAAGAATTTCCCTTTTAACCAGCAGGATATCTTCGTGAGTCGGTAGACTATCTATCCTTCATCTCTTCCAATCTCTTTTTTTTTTTCCCTTACTGTTTAGTTGTTCTGCTCTACATCGATCGCCATGGAGGATAAGTTACTTGATATTCTAGAGAAGATCGCCAGCGCTGGCTTCCGTTACGTGAAAGATCAAGTCGGATGGCAGAAACGCACGAAGGAGCCGCTGGCAAGGTTGAAAGGGTATCTCCCCCATATCCAAGCTGTCGTCCACTTTGCTTCCAGCCAAGAACAGATCACAGAACAAAATCCGCCTCTTAACAAATGGCTATGGCAGCTACGAGATGCCATTGATGATGCATATGACGTGGTTGATGAGCTGGAGTACATCGAACTTGAAAAACAGGTGACCAAAGACAAGAAACTGAGAAGCGACTGGAGGAAAAGACTTGTCAAAATTGGCAAACGTGCTCTCCAAATTGATCCCACCTTGAAGCGACTGGAGGACGCTGTGCAGAAACTTGATACAGTTTCAACTAATGTTGCTTCTTTCATTTATCTTGTTAAAGACGCAAAGCAGGAGCATCAGAAGAAGCAGCTTGAGCTGCACGGAGCGCGTGAAACGGGATCCTCGCCTAAAAATGATCTCATCGGTCGAGGCAAGGAGAAGGAGCTTATTATGGAGTGGCTGAGGAATCCATCAAATGAGCATCGAGGAACTGATTTGTACAGAAACATTTCTCTTCTATCTA